ATCACTTCAGCATCTTTCGAAAAGATTTTTTTACCAAAGTAAAAATAATTCTACTTCTTGTTTTGGTAGCTCCACTTTTAAAAGTAATCAAGCCAACTATCCACAAGTATGTGTTCATCATTACAAGATTATATACTAATATTAATTATTTCTATTCTTTTTTTTCTTAGTACTCCTAAGATACAATGAATGTGAATGAAATTCGGTTTCATACTTCAAATTTAAGCACTATTCTTGGGATGCCCAGTACCTATCAAAACATAAAATTTTAAAAATCTCATTCTCAAACAACAAGAACAAGAGCTTAAATTCAGCAATCTAAAGGATGACTTTAATAGCATTGCTAATTTGGCTAAACGAAGACCACAGATGCTACACAACTATTTTGAAAATAATTCAAACATTCAACAACACAAATCTATCAAGGTTTTAGTTCCTTGTAATTTGCATGAAGATGCCCAAATATCAATTAGCTTGCAATTACATGATATTAACTAGCTAATACAAATTTAAGAAAAGAAATGCAAGATAGTCATAGTATACTCAATCAACTTGGTAGAAATTTTTAGGAAGCCAATCATATTAAAAATTATGTTCATAACTTACTTGCATCTGGGGTGTTGATCGCAGCCAATAAAATAGCCAGACCCAAATCTGCTAACTTTAAATCTTAAAGTTCCTTCTTCGCAGCTGCATAAGTTATCAAGAGAAACAATGCTTTCTTCATGCTTTTAAAAGTGAAAGAGCAAAAATTGTGCAGATGACAGGACGGTAAAAAGCAAGTTCACAAAATAACAAAGCATCCCTGATATACCTTAACTTCAATAAATGTGAATAAAGTCAAAACATTACCCTCTACATCTTTTGAGACACTAATGATTCAACACCTTAAATATGTGTTCAGATAACAGTATGAACATTAAGCGTGTAAAAGATTTATAGAAAGAGACAGATTAGTTGATTATCATCAGGTGTTGGAGCCTTGGGATGCAGGATCTTGCGGCAATCATGCATGAGAATGGATCAATCAGGAGGTCCACAAGGGATGCCAAGCTGGTTTTAGTGCAGGTAGACGACACATTGAACTTCAGTAAGAGAACTGGACTGTGCATCAACAAAGAATGTCGGCTGTGCATCAGTAATAAAGGCTAGTTAGGCATGAGGAGGCAGGTCAATCATCAACAAAGTTGGTGGTCTAAAGGGCGTCGATGAAGGTCAGCCTGTTGAAAGGATGTCAGAAAAGAGGTCGACCAGTCATCAGCGAAGAAGATTCATTAGGCATTGTGAGCTCCGAAAAATTCGTGCCCCGACCTCCCCTTGCCTTCGGGAGAGTTTTGACGAATTAAATTCTGGGGTAAATTTTCAAAAGGCATATTGGGTTTGAAATAAGATACTACCCGAAAATTTCGCCTTCATTTTGCGAGGACTTTATGATCTTTGTTCTGGTTATAGTAACAACATGGGTTTAGGTGTTTGAAGGTTTGATATTTAAAATTAAAAATTTCACCATCTTGCACTTAAAGTGGATAGTGGGGGAAGTGATGATGGATCCAATCAAGATCCCATGGTTTCGTCATCCCAAGCCATCGTGGTCCATAGTCTACTTAGTTAGAGGAGGAAGTCGACCCAACCTGACAGAATGATCCTTGTCGGCAAACATGGGTTGTGTCGTCCAAGGGAACCTTGTAGACATGTGATGAGTATTTGCCTAAGGGGTAAATTTTGAATCCACCTTAGCTAACAAAGGGCTTTGTGCCCTATCAATTATATCCTATTGATTCCTATCTCAAGGATTTGATGTCATTAGGGAGCATACGGGCTTCGGCCATGACTATAATTTAGTGGTGCCATTTGGCGGCAAATCACCGGGTTCAGAGGGCCCCGATCATAATTGTTTACCTGCAATGCCATTTGGAGGCAAAACCGCCGGTTAGAAGACATGTGCCACGTCCCCATTGGCAAGAGACTGTTTCAGAATGAATCCTAGTGATATTCTCGACCAGACATTAGCTCTTTGTGACCACCTCGGCAAACTATTGTGGAGGGTTGATAGATTTTTGCTTTAAGCGTTTTGATGGTTAATTTCAATTTTAAATATTTTAGATTTTGGAATATTTGGAATCATAGATTTTATGGTCATTTGGGTGACATTTTGAATATTTGGAATTAACTCCTCCAGTTTAGATCTACATTCAACACAGTCATCATCGGGGTTTTCATGAGCAATTATATTTTATTGATTGAACCATGTCGACTCTATTAGATGCCAACAGAGGATTGGGTTCGAGTCGGCTGTATACTTTTATTGGCAATATTTTTTTGATATGGACCTTGAAGGCTTAATCTGAACTACAAAAATAAATATCTTGGTAGATGTCGCGACCATATATTTATTCATTGGTTCAAGTCATGTCGACTCTCGTTCTATCAAGGAGGAGGATTAGTCTTGAACTTAAGTTCATTTATTGACCTGCACAATATCCTCAGACGCCGCATGTACCCATAACACGCTTGTTAGGGCCCATGAGGGTGTATGATTGCATATGCATTTTTGTGTTTGTGTGTGTATACATATTGTACTGAATGTGTTGGGCCATTTTAGAATGTTTAATGCTAATCAGTTGTGCGAGCAATTGTCAGTTGAATGCAGCGTTCTATTTGGAAGCTTGTACATGCCTTTTGTCAACTTGTAGGGATGTTGCAGATCCGGTGGTGTAGCATCGCGTCACAAGTTGTTTGCTGCTTTGGGCAGGTAGGTTATCGTGCACTAACGAACCTCCTGCTATTTGTATTTGTTGTATATCATCTATTATTGCTTGCAGTGAATTGGATTGACGTACTTGCTAGCCATTGAATGGTGATTGATTATAGGGGTGTTGTGACATCCACAACCTATTGATCATCACCCGCCTATATATATTATTGTGCATATGATGCATCTTCCATCATTGCTAGTAGGCACTTGCATCCGCCATGATCTTCCATCTATTGCTTGTAGAGGATTCATCACTCTTGCAATACATTTACTATCATTGCTTGTAGAAAAGACCATTGTATGCACAACGAGTTTCCTATAGGAACTCGTAGGCATTTACACTTGATGTAGTCACTTTGCATTTTGCTTATGGACAACACACAGGATGTATGACGGGTTTTCTGAATCCTGCTCATGAAGGGTCTTCTACAACAACTAGTAAGTGCTTGTGTTTGTTGCATATCAGCCTCTTTGCTTGTAGGGGATCAATGTATTTGCCAGCAGTCGAGTGGTTGTCAACTATGAGGGCATCGTAACACCCATCACTTGTTACTGACTATCAATCGTGGACATGCTATTGTGCATACAATGAATTTCCTTTCATTTCAAATAGGGGTTTGCATTTATCGTAGGCTACGTTGTATATGTTTATAGATGAGTTGACATATATTCACATGCACGTTGATGTTGACTGTGGGGAGATTGCACCATCTGTTGTACGACTCATACTTTGCTTATAAACATTTCATTATATTCTTCAGTCTCTTTGAGTTTATTCATATGATAATTATCAGTGTTATTGTTTGCAAGCGAATGTGTATGTTCATCCGCAAATTAAAACTGATTGTTAGGTGAGTTGCGTTCATAGCTCTCCCTGCATGTTAACTGATGAGTGGTTGCATTCATCGTCAAATTCCTTTTATGTGTCAATCGACGAACTTTTGTATTAGCTTGCATGTATTTCAGTGTTTATGGGGACTGTTTCAGGTGCTTGCAAGTTAGTTAACCTCGGTCGTAGAACTTTTGCATTGCAGGTTCGTTTACTGTCATTGCTCACATATAGGCTAATGTGTGCATTGCAAGCTTGTACATTAAAGGTTTTGCATACGAAAAATCTTTTGTCATTGCTAGCACATGTTCGCATTCGCCATATGCTGCACTGCATATGTCTGTAGGAGGGGTATTATCATCTACCAATGAATCTAGTATGTTCATTTGCATGTGAATATTGATTGTGGGATGAACTGCACTCATCATTAATTTCTTCATACATTTTAGCCCCCATTGCTTATAAGGTCCAATGCATTTGATTGCATGTTAATCTCGTGTTCATAACAAACAGGTATGGTTGCTTGCGTGCTGATTAGGGTTCACTGCAAGAAGGCCGTTATATTCGTTAATGCATCCTACACGCTTTGTTTGTAAGCATTGAATGCTCTACTGCTGCCATGCAGAGATAACTTGTCGTGTATGTTTGCTAATCCTTTACTATCTTTGAAGATAACTTATGGTTTAGTTGCATTTCAGCTGGCATGGCAATTCTTTGACATTCATCGAAAACTTCAAGTCACTGTCTGCATATAAATTACTGTATTTTCCATAACTTAGTCAATTTTTACTTACAAACGAGTCGCGTCACAAGTCTTTTCATTTGTTCGTTGACGTTCATTTGTGTGCATTGAACCATTATTTAGTATTTATATTTTCAAGTTCATTATGTATTTTAGAGTTCTAAGGTCCGGTGTCCTGTTAATTCATTTAAGCTTTGTTCCTTGCAGTTAATGCTTGGTTTTAAGTTTCAAGTTGTCTTGTTCAGTTCAAGTTCTAGTTCTAGGTCAATTATTCAAGTCAGTTCCTTTCTTTGTTGTGAATTTTGATAGCCTTTCAGTGTCTCCCCTGTTTAGGAGAAACTACATGAGTCTGGGTCATCCCACCACACTACGAGAGCGTGTATGATTGGTGTCGAGTAATACCGCGGCTGTATTTCTTCAACCTCACCACATTACGAGAGCGTGTATGGGTCTTCGAGAATAATTCAAACATTCAACAACACAAATCTATCAAGGTTTTAGTTCCTCGTAATTTGCACGAAGATGCCCAAATATCAATTAGCTTGCAATTACATGATATTAACTAGCTAATACAAATTTAAGAAAAGAAATGCAAGATAGTCATAGTATACTCAATCAACTTGGTAGAAATTTTTAGGAAGCCAATCATATTAAAAATTATGTTCATAACTTACTTGCATCTGGGGTGTTGATCGCAGCCAATAAAATAGCCAGACCCAAATCTGCTAACTTTAAATCTTAAAGTTCCTTCTTCGCAGCTGCATAAGTTATCAAGAGAAACAATGCTTTCTTCATGCTTTTAAAAGTGAAAGAGCAAAAATTGTGCAGATGACAGGACGGTAAAAAGCAAGTTTACAAAATAACAAAGCATCCCTGATATACCTTAACTTCCATAAATGTGAATAAAGTCAAAACATTACCCTCTTCATCTTTTGAGACACTAATGATTCAACACCTTAAATATGTGTTCAGATAACAGTATGAACATTAAGCGTATAAAAGATTTATAGAAGGAGACAGATTAGTTGATTATCATCAGGTGTTGGAGCCTTGGGATGCAGGATCTTGCGGCAATCATGCATGAGAATGGATCAATCAGGTCCACAAGGGATGCCAAGCTGGTTTTAGTGCAGGTAGACGACACATTGAACTTCAGTAAGAGAAGTGGACTGTGCATCAACAAAAAATATCGGCTGTGCATCAGTAATAAAGGCTAGTTAGGCATGAGGAGGCAGGTCAATCATTAACAAAGTTGGTGGTCTAAAGGGCGTCGATGAAGGTCAGCCTGTTGAAAGGATGTCAGAAAAGAGGTTGACCAGTCGTCAGTGAAGAAGATTCATTAGGCATTGTGAGCTCCGAAAATTCGTGCCCCGACCTCCCCTGCCTTCGGGAGAGTTTTGACGAATTAAGTTCTGGGGTAAAATTTCAAAAGGCATATTGGGTTTGAAATAAGATACTGATGTAAAATGAAAAAGGCTTTGCTATGGAAGATGGAAAAACTCCAGATGTCTCACAAATAAAATCTGAAAATATTCTTCAGGGTTTTATTCAAAACCTGAAAAAAAAAGGAATTCTTATTTGATTCTGAGAAGAAAATGAGGCTGTTAAGCTGAGGAGAAAATTCCCATCCACGTCAAATTCTGGCAGCAATTTGGAGTGCAAGAAACTTATGAAACGGCTCAATTTTGGAAGGATTAGGGAGAAGTAAAACAAGCAAAACATTTAAGGAGGAGGTGGCTGAGTTGTGGCTAGACTTTTGGAATTAATTCCAATTCAGGAGACTGAATTAAGTGGCTATAAGTTGATGTGACCACTTGGAGAATTTGCTCAGAAACCGTATGGATGATTGGAGGAATAGGAATTTATTTCCTAACCTGCAATCAGATTTTAGGAAATAACTTAAGAGGGGGGCTTGAGGAAATATCGGCCCAGGCAGATGGAGTTTAATTCCTGAAATTAATTTCCTTAGATTAGGGAATTAATTAGTATAGCAAGGCAAGGAGATCCGAAACAGTTCAGATTTATTATTCAGCTATTTTGTTTCAAAAAAAAAAAAAACTGAAATCCCAAGAAAGGGACTTGAGGGAATTCGGCCAACAGCAGCAGTTTTTTTTTCTTTCTTTTTTTGGAAATCTGTCCAAAGAAAAATAACGGCACTTAATTGATGGATTTCAAAATCACTTTAATAATAGGGAGGAGGCCAGCTGAATTAAGGGGAGATGGAAGGATGTAATGAGAGCATTTAAGGCTTCTTAAATTTGAATTTAAAATTCAAATGAATTTAGAATTCAAATGAATTTAAATTAAGGACTTGATGGAATTTGCTTAATGTTAGGGAATTAAGGAAAGAACCAATTAAACCCCTTTTGAATTTGAAAATCAAATCGGATTGAAAAAGGAAACTTTCCAAAAATAACTTTCCTAAATTAGGAAAGATTTCGAATTTCAAAATGCATGATTTTGAATTTGAAATCAGCCCAAAATATGAACACCCAAATTAGGCAAGGATTTCAATGGGGAGAAGGAGGTGGAAGGTGAGATTCACGGGTGGGTGGGGGAGGTGGCCGGCGGGTGAGGGAAGTGGCCGGTGGCGGGTGACAACGAATCGAACACGAGAAATAAAGAACGAAAATTAGTAGAACAAGAAGACCTAGAACTCACAAAGAGATCTAGCTCTTCCCAAAACTCACTAAGAGATTTGGGAGAGGGATGCACTCACAAAGAGAACACAATGTAGAGAACTCACTAAGAGATCTAAAAGATGGAACTCACAAAGAGAACACAAAAAGCAAATTTTCATTAACCATTCATCATCCCATTACATAAGAAAGGGCCTCTATATATAGGCCTAAGAAACTAAAACAAGACACATATGCCCCTAAGGCTTACATAGGACGACCCTCTTAAGTGAGGGTAAAAACGGAAAATTCATAATAAAAATTTAAAAATTACAAATAAAATATAAGAAAACGTGGGATAATGACAGCCGTTGATCTTCAGCTCCTCGGATAGTCATGGACGGTTGGATGTCCGCATCAGATACTACCCAAAAATTTCGCCCTCATTTTGCGAGGACTTTATGATCTTTGTTCTGGTTATAGTAACAACATGGGTTTAGGTGTTTAAAGGTTTGATATTTAAAATTGAAAATTTCACCATCTTGCACTTAAAGTGAATAGTGGGGGAAGTGATGATGGATCCAATCAAGATCCCATGGTTTCGTCATCCTAAGCCATCGTGGTCCATAGTCTACTTAGTTAGAGGAAGAAGTCGACCCAACCTGACAGAAGGATCCTTGTCGACAAACATGGGTTGTGTCGTCCAAGGGAACCTTGTAGACATGGGATGAGTATTTGCCTAAGGGAAAAAATTTGAATCCACCTTAGCTAACAAAGGGCTTTGTGCCCTATCAATTATATCCTATTGATTTCTATCTCAAGGATTTGATGTCATTAGGGAGCATACGGGCTTCAGCCATGACTACAATTTAGTGGTGTCATTTAGCGGCAAAACACCGAGTTCAAAGGGCCCCGATCATAATTGTTTACCTGCAATGCCATTTGGAGGCAAAACCGCCGGTTAGAAAACATGTGCCATGGCCCCATTGGCAAGAGATTGTTTCAGAATGAATCCTAGTGATATTCTCGACCAGACATTAGCTCTTTATGAGATGAAGTGGTATTTGAATTTATCCACCTCGGCAAACTATTGTGGAGGGTTGATAGATTTTTGCTTTAAGCGTTTTGATGGTTAATTTCAATTTTAAATATTTTAGATTTTGGAATATTTGGAATCAGAGGTCATTTGAGCACTTTAGAAACATGTCGCACCCGTTGACCATCGCTTGCGTCGTTGATTTCGGCCTTTTTTGTGTTCTTTAGTGAATGGGTCATTGAATTCAGCCTTTTTTGTGTTCTTTAGTGCATGGGTCAACATGGTCCCTCTAAGATATTCCACTAGTAATACTCAAGATCTCCAAAATGTGATGCTCTATAGAGGTTTCATATATCGCATCCTTGTTATGGTGGTTTAACATTTATTTGTCTCATGGTTTTTTACAATTATTCTAACTCAGCATTCAAGACACAACTAGAATTAACTATTGACATTGTCATATGCAGGCAGACACCTAGGTATTCATCTCTGAATATCTATTAAGTATATCAATGACCAATAGTAAAATATATGGGCATTAACATTGCGATAAAAGAAAATTTTCATTTAGAATTCCTGTTATAATCATATCCATGACCTACGAAACATAGGGACTTAATACTTGATGTAACTTTCCCATAATTTAAAAGAAACCTGCATTTTTGGCTCCATGCGCCACTACAGGATAGGCACCATTATAGAAGAGAAAATACCTAACTCATAAATACCTTGGGCACAATCTGCTATCATTAGGAAGTGAAGAGAATAGTATGTGACCAAATTTCTCCTCCAACATTTTCTCAACCTATCAGAGAAGCATAAACAATACAAACTCTCTCAGAAAGCCGCAAATATATTGTCAGAGAAAGTAATAGCCAGAGATTCAAATCGTCAACAAATAATAACCTGATGAATGTGAGCATTGCTTGCCAAATTGCAATATTCAATAAATCGAGACCAATAATCTCTCAAAAGACCCTTCCATTCAGTCGTGCCAGCAGAAACATTATCAAGCTGATGAAGGCAACCAGAAACCAAAATAAGAGAGACAATGACAAGAAACACTTCCAACTAGTTTGACGAAATACTGTTTAGTATTTTGAAAACAAAAAAGAAATCATAATAGTCAACTTGGTAACAGATTGAGGCTTTTTTTGGGACAGTTTTTTTGTTGCTTTCTAAATTAGCTTTCTAGTATAAAAATTTCTTGAATTAGAAAAGTTAATACTAGAAAATCATTTTAGGAAGCAGTTTGAAAGCTGCCTCAAATGAAGCCTGAGTCAAATAACATACACACCAGCATAAGCAAAAGATAAGTTCCGAACTGTGCTATAATGTATGTTTCAATTTTGGTTTTGGACACTTACAAAGGGTGACTTGTTTGGTTTGAAAAAGGTGCTACGTAAAAGAATACCTAGTAAAAAAAAAAACTTAGTGGTGTTTAGATGTAAAGTGCCACAATTTCCCAACCTTCATTTAAGCTATTCCCATAATAAAACCCACCCAAAAACACAGAAGAAGTTTCAAGACATTCACTTTGAGCCAAATGACACCAAAAGGAGTTCACTAGTTATGCTAGCATCACAAATACAGCTCTTTTTGGTTTTTCTTTTAAGTTCCGAACTTTATTTTAGGTTATATAAAATTTTAATCGCATAATATAATATACCTAATTAAATGCAAGATAATTAAATATAATGAATCATCTGATTGTAAAGTCAATTATGAAAAGGCAATTTAAAACAAAATAATACAGTAATCATGATTAATATATTAATAAAAAAATTACGCTAAATAAAAGGCCTTTCAGGAGATTACAAAATGCATCGACTGGATGTTAATTCGAAAGAGCAAAAATTGTTTTTAATAGGAAAAACTTTCAAAACAGGATGAAAACCAATAAAATGATGGATGGAATTCGATATAATGGACGGTTTCTACTTTAATGCTGGCCAAATCTCTTGAAACAAGTGAAAGAAAACAGTTTCAGCCAATGCTCTTGACCTTGAAACTAATTATAAAATTCAGTTTTACGAACTTCCATTTCCATTTAGGGATTGTTTGGTAGGAATACAAAAAAGTGTAAAGTACTCTAAATATAGGGGATTCTTGAAAATTTTGGTGTTTAATTGGAATACAAACTTGAGCTAAGTAAAGTAAAGTAAATGTAGTGTAAATCATTTTAGTTCATTTTTGAAATAAATAAAACTCACCATGTTTTTAGTGAAAATTGTTTAAACCGCAACCAAAAGCTCACTTGATCGCCACCCACCATCGTCGTCATCCACTGCCGCCATCCCCCACTAACTACCACCATCGCCGACCACCAACACCACTACTGGCGACCGCCACTACCCACCGTCGGCCACCACCACCATCGGCCACCCTCGCCGTTGAGGGCCACCGCCTTCAGGATCGCCACCCACCATCGTCGTCATCCACTGCCGCCATCCCCCACTAACTACCACCATCGCCGACCACCAACACCACTACTGGCGACCGCCACCACCCACCGCCGGCCACCACCACCATCGGCCACCCTCGCCACTGAGGACCACCCCCTTCAGCCACCACCACCGTCAACCACCACCAGTCGCAATCATTTTTGGACCTTACACTACATTCATTCTTCAAACCAAACAAAAAAAATACCATTCACTTGAATTACAACTAAAATTACACTCCATGCATTCGATTTCAAATCTACTCAAATGAAAACTTTTAAACTCTAACGTTGACCTCCATAATTCAAGTTTTCTTCAACTCTCTCTAATCTTACCAACAAGAAGATTATCATCAGCAAAAGGCATACACCAAGATACATCTATTGCAAATGTCTAGTAAGAACATCCAATGACTAAAGCAAAAAGATATGGGCATAAAGCTGATCCTTGATATAATCTGACTAAAATAGGAAAAATGCATCGTCAAACCAGCTTTGTTTAAACATAAGTAACAGCTCCTCTATATATATATATATATATATATTAATGACTTGAATATAAGCACTGTTAACTCCTTTCTTTTCTAGAACTCTCGAGAACATTTCTCTTTGAACTTTACCATATGCTATCTCAAAATCAATAAATATCATACATAGATCCTCCTTACTCTATATTTCTCTATCTCTCAATTTTGCTGACTATTAAATTTTTAAATTTAATGGAAATTTAAGCCTCGAACGATTAACTTTGAAACTTTTTGGGGCATTTCAAAAATCATGTAATCCTCTCAAATTGAGATTAGCTATTAATGCGATCATCCTTGAGGTGACATTTAACTCACTTGAAAATATTTGCATTTGCAACATAGAGAGAATTGATTTTAAAAATGAATTGCTAAGGTTGATATTCATTTCGATGCAGCCATCATTAAGATTTTAAATAATTTAATTTTTTATTTAAACCTTGTTAACTCTGCCTGTTCGCCAACAAAAGATCGAGTTCAAATAACAATTTTGTGACTTGTTATATAAACATTGACCTCAAGAGTTCACATTTTATAGTAATTTTTCTTTATATAAGGCTTTGAGAGCTTAATGTGAACATAAAAAACAAATATCTTCATGAGTTTTACGGTTGTATATTTATTTGTTAAGTTCTAGTCTTGTCAACTACAATTCTTTCAAGGAGGAGAATCAGACTTAAAATTTAAATAAATTTTTATTTTAGCACGTGCATCATTCCCAAGCCTTAAATTTGAGAGTTCAACACATTGGTTGGAGCACATAAAGGAAAATTATCGTTCAACTTATTATTTGACTCTCGCAACATTTTCAAATGATGATATTAAGCACTTAACATGCTTGTTAGAGCAAATGCAAGAAATTTATTTGACTCTTGCAACATTTTCAAATGATGATATTAAGCACTTAACATGCTTGTTAGAGCAAATGCAAGAAATTTAAATTTAATAGCCCAATGTCTTGCACATGCTTTTTTATGAAATTTTATGAGGAAATAACTAGATATTGGTCTTATTTTGTTTAAATCAAACCTATTAAACATGTTTTCTTCTTCTCTTTAATGGTTTAAATAACCTTATAAATATCAAATAAATTTAGCATATTTTTTGTATTAATCAGGCCTTAAGATTAATTAAGAGAGTTAATTAAACTTGATTTTAGGTATTTGAGCCCTAATTAGGTTAAATAAAATAAGATTGACTGAAATTTAGCAAAAGCCAATCAACGAATATATTTCAATACTGATCTTCACTCTATCAAGTAAACCCTTACTAATTAAGAAAACTCGATTGACTCTAAATTTATCTAATTAGCAGATAGACAATCAAATAAGTGTGATTGACCAGTGTGCCTGTGCATGTGTGTGTGTGCGCGCGCGTGCGTGTGCGTGTGCGTGTGTATGTGTGCTTGTGCGCGTGTGCATGTGTGTGTGTGCGCTTGTGCGTCTGTGCGTGTGCGCGTGATAAAAAAAAAAGTGTGATTGACCACAATTTTGGGGTAAAAAAATGAATCCGTATTACTGCAGAATTTTGAATTTCACAGTTTAATCGCAATTTAATGAGTCAAGTCATATAATTGTGACTATTTTCATGAATTTATGCATGCCCTTTGTTGATGCGCCATCCCATGATGATAGTTGTATTAATAGTGAATTATGTGTAGGTTAGCAAAAAAAATTTATTGTAGAGCTTGTTGGTATTTTAGTGAGTGCTACTTTAATAAAAATATTTTGGGAGTTGTGGTTTAGCATTTTTTTGTTAAACAAATTTGTTGTTTAGTATGTTCTCAATTGATGTTAATTTGGCATACAGAAGCATTATTTCATCATTTGATCAAGTGATAAATTGTGTCTAAATCTGTATTCGTCCTGCCCATTCGTCAAGCTTCTATAGTCCAGATTATACCAAAAGCTCATACTATTTCCTTCATGTTTTAGGGACCAAGAAAATGCACCTCAACACAACTTCGAAGAGCTCTGCTAAAGGTTCAAAAACGTGGGCACACCTTGAAACGAATTACAAATACAAAACGTAGAAAGGTTGTATTGAATTTATGTTAAGTAATAACAAAATGCTAAAAAAAAACTATAATTAAACAGTTCAATAGATAGCATCTGACCAGAAAAGATAGATACCTCAGTCTCCATATCAGCGGTAAAGCTATAATTAGTAACTTCTGAAAAATGATGGGAAAGAAATTCCGAGACCTGCCAAAAGCATAAGAAAACAATTAACATAGATAAATAAGAAATCTAGAACCTAACCTAAAGCAACAAGTGCCAAAAATTCTATGTTGAACAAAAGAAACTCAGAGAAAATAAGATGGAAAAAATGAAAGTTCAATAGTATCTAAGTAGAAAATAGTGGTTTGAAGAACAGCTACTTGTCTTAAGCACTCAAAGGCCAAATTTCGAGTAGAATAACTCTATTGAAATGGGATTGAAAATCCTAAAGGTTCCGTAATTACACTTTGTTTTTTTTTTCTCAAGGTAAGAAGAAACCAAGAATGAACAACATACCATTCGACCTCGAAATTCAGGATGAAGAACTCGATTTTTCATTGTCACATAGCTTCTATCCTGGATAACATAGCCAATTCAATCAAAGTATTGCATACAACATAGTTTCAATCTATTATATTCAAACAAACGGAAGAAAAATAGTTAGAATGATAGATTCAAACACTCAGAAGAAACATAATGGCTTTAAACCATATATTTACATCCAAAATATTAAATATCATATCAAAGAAAAAAAAGAAACGAGAAATCAAGCACAAGAAGATAGCATTCTTAGAATAAAATTGCAGAGTCAAAGGTCTACCCAACAGTATTGCATGCACTCAATAAAAAACTACAATAAATCCGATGAATAAAATTCTAGGAATCTTAATGATAGCCAAACAAACACTCAGAGATTGGTTTTGGACTTGGTTTTTAAACTCCGTGCAAGAGATAAGCTATATGTTAAAACACTATACATGATACATGCTAGCACAAGAAAATTGCATTTTCATGGACAAAGATGATAGAAAGAGAAATGCTGTATCAACTGATTATGCATTTCTTATTAGCACTTACATCAACAACATTGAAATGCATATCATTGTAAACGTTAAATTATCAAAATATTTACAAGCAGATATTAAAAGTAAAGTCATTCACATCAAAAGAATACCTGCAGCACTTTCATTATGGATGCGTAAGTCGATGGTCTTCCAATTCCAAGTTCTTCCAACTTTTTAACCTAAATGAAAGATGTTCAATCATTAGACATAAACAAAAATCAGTATTTTATGGCTGTTTAGGGATTTAAAAATATCACAGAGAGGTGCATCTTGCAGAACTAAAACTTGGAAGCATGAAAACAAACTTAAAAGCAGAATGGAGAAATCACCAAGGCTCCCTCAGAGTATCGTGAAGGTGGTTTAGTATAATGCTGACTAAGGTCCACCTTAATCAATGATAATGAGTCCTTAACCTACCAACAAGAAACAAAAAATTAGATAGAAAAATATCTTTAGTAAGCAGAAGGTTGGCACGACAAGCATCAAATGAAAAGCTAAAAAGAGAAAAACAGGAATCCAACTCAATATAGATATTTATATGGATGAGTTTTTGCACTTTCGTATCGACTCATAAATGGATGAACAAATAAATAATACCTCGTGTTTACCTCCATCAAACCATTATAGAAAATACTCCAATAAAAATACAGGCAAACATGCATAATTTCATATGCAGTCAATAACTTATCCACATACAAGCATACATGCATAATTAAAAGTAAATTCATGCTTTTATAATTAATGCATGTGCACATACTTTGATGTATGTAGAGATGTACATGCAAGTATGTGACATGGATATTTACAAATGTGGATGGGCATGCATGTAGAGATGTATTTATGTGTATGTGATGCAAATATTTGTGAACACCTATTTAGATCCAAGCATGTGAAAGAACATGCAGAAATGGAAGTACACAATGTAAATGCCAGTATGTGCCCATTTAAACGAATTCATATATGCACGCATAAATATCCAAGCATGTTATTTATTCAGGAGAAATGATTGTATACAAAGCATGCGACATACAAATGTGTCACATGGATACTAGTTATCTATATGTTGCACGTACTTTTTTATACAAACATAAATAAGCCACAGTGCACACTCATTAATAGTACAAAATTAATTCACATAGAAAAAGATGGTTTGCGCACGATTGGCTTAAGTCCTATGCTTAGAAAAACTACATTTCCCCCATCAATAGATTTTGAGCATACAATGATCAAAATAAAATCAACACCGCTGACATAAACTCACATAATGAGAAATATCTAAAAACCAAAATCCACAACTTCTAAGATGGTTTAGATAGAAAAAAATAAGCACAAGAAACGGTTGAATGACAGAAATGATAACGCTAAGTAGAAAAAATGGGGTTATTTAAAAATGTAAGTTATGGGATTTATCATAAATGAAAAGATTTGCATAAATGTAAACTAAATTCATTTTGAGTAACTTGATGAAATTATTATTAATTACAATCAGTATAGAGGGTCCTTCTCATAATTAATAATTTTATTATGACTTGTTTTTTGTAATTAGGATTTCATAAGTTTTATAAGGGGCTAGCCTATTTAAACCCACACCCCTCTTAGGGAAAAAGATCAGTTTTTGGTTGATTTTTGTCCCAGAAATTCCTGATTTGAACAGCAGTCCATGTTTTTGTGCAGGCAGAGAGGGATGAAAAGCTTACTGGAGTCTGAAACTCCGCCACAACAGATTGTCGGAGCTCCGGCGCCATCTTCACTTAAGAAACAAGAAGGGGTGATTATTTTCTTGCAGGCTGTGAAGATAATTTTCTGAAGCATATCTTGTCTTCTTGTCTCCCTTTATATTTTTCTTGCAGATTTTTAAAACTGGAAGCAATATGGAGAGGCGTCATGGGAAGTTCTGTGGCTGGACACAGGGGAAGAAAAAGGTAGTTTGCTGAGGCTGAGGTCGGTAAGGAAAAATGGAAATAACGATAGCAGGAACGGTAAGAAAGCCCTTGGTGGACACAGCTCTCATGCAGATCATTGCTTTGCAACTATCTTGAATGAACAAACAAGCCAAACTAGATTCTCTGTTGTGTTATTATTTGATACTGTACTTCTTTCTTTATTGAGCAATTGATCTACCTAGATCTTCGTTGAATTGGACTGTAGGTCTGCTGGAAATTCCTGTCAACCTAGGATTTCGGAAGTCTGGATGAAAGGCAGCGTCTTGATCAAGCTTAGAAGGCCATTGTAGGGACACGGTGGTCATTGAAGCTTGCATGGAACCTTGTCATCCATGGCAGATAATCTAGAAGAACTGGGACAGTGAGGATCAAGGGATTACCGCCACAGATTATCCTTGTTTGGAGCCTTTTCTTGGCTGGAACAGAAGAGGACAGCAGGGAAAGGAACACAAAATATAAGTCCGAAATTCTGGAAGTAGGTAGGATCTTTTCCTGAATTTTAGAGAATTGTCGCAGAATTGTCCAATCTAGTTCCAAGAAATTTTAGGTTGGCAAGGAATTAGGTGAGCAGCAGCATTGGTTGCTGGGTGACGGGCAGCAGAGGCTTCATTTGTGGCTGATAGTAGAAGGAACCGGTACTAGTGTTTAAAGGTCAAGAGTTGTTAGTCTTGATGCAGAATCAAAATCATGGTAGTTCAAAAGAAAATAGGTTCCTTATTCTTACTAAGTTCAGATTCTTGTAGCCTTCTAGATTACATTATTGTCTTTAGCTTGGCGTCCAGAACATTAGTGGGATCTTAATTTAGTTTTCCTTCCTAAAAGTCTCATTGGTCAATTTATTGGTGTGTTACTCGCCACTAGATGTACTGAAATTTTGACAAATTTCATGATTGGGTCTCCCATAAATAAAGAAACAAAAAGGAATTCATGATCTATATGGTAAAATTCAATAAATTTTGTTCCCTTCCTAGTTTCAGAAGTAAAGATGAGCATGAAGGATATTTATAAGGGTTTTCAGCTAAAAGAAAGATACGTATAAAAAAAAAACTAAAAAGTCAACATTTGCAGTTGACAAGCATGAAGCCTTGCATTAATTCTCACTTTGCATAAATACAACATCCAACGAACAACTAAAATTGACTTTTATATATTTTGAAAATATCTTTACCTTATACCAAAAAAGGCCATTCATCTACTGCTAGGCCATGACAGTTCACAATCATATGGTCATTTGATAAAGGAAGCTAATATTTCTATGATCAACACATGAGATCAGGTTTTGAAAAATCAAATCAAACCGTCTGCTTCAGGCACTACAGATCGGTTCCTCCTGGCCCATATCGAAAAAACTTCTCTGGTGCGAATTTCACCCTTTTAAGCTTGCTATGCTGGCTTTTTGGCGTGGTTTATGGAAAATTTTAGCCAACTGATCATTAAGAAAGCACCAACCTCTTCCTTGTGAGCCTTAATGTGTGTAGATTAGAGACGACAAAAGAATAGTTCCCTAGAGGAGAATTAGGATGTTTTAACAAATTCCCCTATGTCGGATTCTTCTAATTCCAGTCGTGTCATTCATTATCACATTATACATATGTCAAAATGATGTATATTCATGCTTTTTTTTCATGGACATGTACATCTGTTTGTATGTAGATGTATGTCTCTACATAGTGAACATGTTTATGCTTATCCATGCATCTAAATATCGGAATGCAAATATATGCATGTGTGTGTATGTATCAAAATGAATATATGAACATTTTTATGGATCTAATTATTCAAGTACACGTGTATGTATGAAATTGGGTGTGGAGATGCATGCATAAATTTATGCTTATATAAACATGTGCTAGTATACTTGTATCTATGTTTACTATATGCATGTATGAATGTATATATATTTCTGTGTATGTTCCCAAATGTATGTACAATTTTTGTGTGAAAGTACAATTGGTACATATGTTGTATGGTGCATGCATGATCTTCGCAAATGAATAAGAGAATGTGTCTGTTTTTACAACAGTACATAAGTGTGTAAGCACCAGTTATGAACTTATGATGTGAGGCCGTAGAATAAGCATGTGTATAACAAAGTTTGTTTTAATTTCTACTCATTTTGTCAGTTTTCTTCTCGTGTGTCTTTTGTGTTCAAGAAATATAGGGTCCCCTATATTCCTTGTCTACATCAGCACGTCTACTTGGATGCATGTGTATTTAATGGTGCATTTGTTAAAATGCTAGATGAATATTGATTCAGCTTAAATTAACAATAATGAATAAATTAAGTAGACGGGTAATAGATCGAATTTAATGGATGAATATTTTAAAAAAATGGAATCTTAATGAGTATGATTTACCTTCAATTCTTGTAGAACCACAAAAGCAGCCTCATCAAAACCATCTTCCTTGTGATAACTTCCATCGACTCCAGCATCCTTATCCTGATGTAGTAGAGAAACTTTAACATTCAGCTACACTTGGAAGCAATAAGATAAAAAGTAAATCTACTCAACCACTTCCAACAGAACGATCTAGTTTACTGGGAAAGAAATTTAGCTATATATGAACATCAATGGAACGATCCATCTAAATAACATTCTTCATAAATTATCATTGCTAAAATATCAAAAAAAGAGTACCATCTAAAGCTACTTTATATAACAAGTTAACCAAACTTTACAAAATCCATGTATTTGGAGTTGAAAAATAAAATTGAATATCATCTATTTAAAGAGCTTCAAGATATAAAGGTATCAATCTTTTCCATATACCCCACAAAACATAAGATGAATGCACATATGGATGTGGACAGATGCACGCCTACATGCCCAAATATCTTCCGTCAAATGCAGATGTGTGAGCAAGCACAAAAGATGCATGATCACCTGCACACATACAGGGACAAAAATGCACATATAAAGCAACAAACATTCAAAACAGTATTAATGCACATGTACAAACAGACACTAACAATCAAGTAAACAGAATCGCTCACATGCATAAATATATGTTTTAAATTACAATAACAGAGAAAAAAAGAAAAATTTTAAACTCACATAGCTGTTGAATTGCTGTTGTGAAGAGGTTAAGAAGCTTCAAGGAAAACAGAGAGACAACGGTACATCTAATCTCATACAGGAAACAGAGAAGGTTGATGAAAACTAGTTATCACATTCATTGTTAAATTATAAGAAGATATTACAGGTGCTCTATATATTTTGGTATAGTAAAGATGAAAATATATAATTTCCCTTGGCAGTTTCATCTTCAATGGTCTAGATTAAATCAGCAGTACAGTACAAAGCATCTGCAGGAAGAAATGGAGACCAGTTTGAGAAGCAAAGTTGTTATGCAAAGTTGTGGTGAAGTAAAATCTTGTAATCATTATCACCGTCCCTCAAGTTGATGGGAGGAACGACCACCAACTTGGATCGAAGAGTTTTGAATCTTGAGACCGGTAGAGATTTGGTGAATGCCAGATGATCTGTTGTTGAGATGTAATGAACAACAATGTGTTGTGCATTGATGGAATCACGAACAAAATGATGGTCAATCTCAATGTGTTTTGTTTGAGCATGAAAAATAGGATTGCAAGCAATAGACATGCCCAAGATATTATCACAGAAAAGTGGGGTAGTCTCTAGAGAGAGGGAGAAGTCTTCACATAAGAGATGAAACCATATAAGTTCGGTTGTGGCATCAGCAAGGGATCGATATTTCGCTTCAGTTGATGAACAAGCTACAGTGGATTGTTTTTTAACTAACCAGGAAATGAGAGCATTGCCGAGGAAAAAAAACAGTAGCCATTAGTAGATTTGTGGTCTTGAGTATCACCAACCCAGTAAGAATCGGAATATGCAGTTAACTTCATATCTCCTTTGGTAAGAAGTAATCCATAATCGATGGTCCCTTTAAGATAGCAAAGAATTCATTTGAGGAGCTGAAAATGGAAATCTAGAGGTTGATGCATGTGTTGATAGATTTTATTGATGGTGAAAGCTATGTCGGAGGTAAGATATTGTAGGGATTCAGCAAATTGACAAAACATAACAGATTGGCTGAAGTTGTTTTGCAGAGTAGGTTCGGTTGGCCATTTTGTGGGAAGAGGTGTGGAAAGTGATTTGCAAGCCGTCATTCCAGTAGTGGAGAGAAGAGTTTGAATGTATCTTTTCTAGGATAAATGGTAGCCGGTAGTGGACGAGTGGATATCTATGCCAAGGAAGTGTGAGAGAGGGCCAAGGTTGCGGATTTGTAAGCGAAGTTGTAGATTATAAACTAAATTGGAAATGAGGGGAGAGTTGTTTCCATTAAGAAGAATATCGTCGACATATATAAGTAGATAGATTTTGCCTATTTGTTTAGTAAGGATGAGAAAGGAAGGGTCGCCAGAGCTAGTGCAAAATCCTAGAGTTTATAAGATATGAAGAGAGTGGAAAACCATTGACGGACAACTTGTTTGAAGCCATAAATAGTTTTTGGTAAGAGATAAACATGATTTGAATGTTGGGAATCTTGAAAATCTTGTGGTTGTGTCATGCAGACGGTGTTGGCAAGCTTGCCACGAAGAAAGGCATTCACCACATCTAGTTGGAGGATGGACCAATTAAAATGAAGGCAACCATGAGAAGCAAGCGAATGGTGGGGAATTTGGCGACCGAACTAAAAGTTTCAAGGTAATCAATGTCATATTCTTGTTTAAACCCTTGAACCACTAACCGTGGTTTTCATAATGGGCAATGGATCTATCAGCATGGTGTTTTATTTTGAATATCGATTAATAGCCAATAATGTATGATTAGTGGGAAGAGGAACTAAAGTCCACATTCCTTGTGACTGTAGAGCATGAAATTCCGAGGGGAGTGCTTGGCGCCATTCAATATGCTTAATAGTAGAGGAATAGCAGGTGGGTGTATTTTGAATGGTAAGGTGGAGGTCAAGAAGATCTCTGGGTTTTAGAGATCCTATTTGAAAGTGGGTTTGCAAGGGATGAGGAGGTGGAAGTGGGGTAGGTGTAGAGAAGAATGTGGCGGATGTAGATGGTTGGGTAAAATGAGGATGTTGGAGCTGGGGATGTGGTGAATGGTACTTGTGTTGGAGTGTGGGTGGAAGAATTTGATGCGGAGGATTGTGAAAAACAAGGAATGGTGGAAGGCAAAGTATCAAATGGAATTGGTGGAGTTGATGTGGATATGACAGAGGGAGAATTTTGGATTGGTGAGGGAAATGATGTGTTTGATTCATCAAAAATAACATGCCTTGAGACAATGATGCATCCAGTAGATGGGTTGTAACACTTATAACCTTCTTGAGCTATGGCATAGCCAAGAAAAATACAAGGTGTAGAGCGTGGTGCAAGCTTATGAGATGAATAGGGAGGAAGCCATGGATAGCAATGACACCCAAAGGAATGAAGATGAGTGGGTGAGAGGAAAGACATGAAGAAGTTAGAAGGAATAAAGTGAATGTGTAGTTGTAAAGAAAAGACAGTTTATGAGATAAACGGTTGTAAGTAGTGTCAACCCAAAAATGCGCAGGTAGTTGAGACTTAATAAGTATGTATGAACAGTGTCAAGCAAATGTCTATGTTTGCGCTCAGTGATACCATTTTGTTGAGGGGTATAGGGACAAGTGTATTGATGATGAATGCCATGTTGCATTAGGAAGGAGTGAAGTATGTGATTAATAAACTCACCACCACTGTCGATGCGAAGAGTTCTTATGAATTTATTTAAATGCATTTCAATGAGAGCTTTAAAGTATTTAATTTTTTGTGGAACTTCATATATAGATTCCAGTGGATACAACTAGGTATAACGAGAGTAGTCATCAACACGTAATAGGTTATAATGAAAACCATTATGCGAGACTACTTGGGATGGACACCAAACATCAGCATGTATAAGGTCAAGAGGAGAATTGGATACATGTTTGGATTTACTAAATGATAATATGTGACTTTTTGCTAAAGCACTGGAATTATAAAAGGTAGTAGAAGATGAGGTACATAATTGAGGAAAAGACTTGATGATAGCAGCAAATATAAAAGCACTTGAGTAACCCAAACGATGCCAAGGCGTAGCGGAGGTGGAGGCAGCAACTGAAATATTGGCAGCATAAGTTGTAGAGGATGAAGAAAATGTAGACACCGGGTAAAGCCCATTAAGACAAGGACCTTGGAGAAGAATACGCTTGATCTTCTGATCCTTTATAACAAAACCAGTTTTGTTAAAGGTAATAGAGCAGTTGTTGTCATTTGTAAGCTTAGAAATAGAAAGGGGCTTATGTGTGAGGCGAGGAACATGAAGAAAAGGACTTATGTGGAGCTTATGTGATGGTGTAGGAAGCGGACCTTTATCGGATTGAAGGATAGGAAGAGCCATGCCACTGCCGACAAATACTTGGTCAAAACTTGAGTATGTGGTGGGTGCAGAAGATTCGAATGTGGTATTAGGTGTGCAGTGCACCACTATCCAAGTACCAAGGAGGAGAAGATGAATCAGCAAGAAACACGACATTGTTGAAGCTTAGGGAGGGAGAATATTTCATATTTGTGCGATACCAATAGTTAAGTGCAGAGTGGCCGTGTTTTCCACAGATTTGGCAGTCACCGGAGAATCTAGATTTGTTGTTTCTAAATGAAACATTGGCAGTGGTGGATCTTCCTCGGCCTCGAGTGTATAGGAAGCGACCATGACCACGACCACGTCCACGAGTAGAAGTAAGAGCGAACAGTGGTTCAATTGTTGTTGTTGAATCAGTGACAGTAAGCTCTTTAACAACATCAGTAGTTTGATTCCTTCCTCACTACACAAGAGGGAATACATATCATCAAGACTTATGGGGCTGAGTTTGGTTCTGATTGTTGTCTTGAAGGCTTGATAATTGGAGGAAAAATCATTCAGGATGTATAGAATAACATCTTCAGTATCTACTAAACCACCGACAATAGCAATATGATCTACCAAACATTCAATTGTGGCAAGGTAATCTGTCATAGACTGGTTTTGCATGGATAGCAAATGCAATTCATTTTTTACTTGGATAACTCTTAAATGATTGGTAGAGAAGAAGCGGCGTTCAAGAGTAGACCAAATAGAGAAACATGAGTCAAGATTAAGAATATAAGGTAGTATAGATGGAGAAATGGATGAGAAGATGGCAACGGCAAGGTTTTGATCAAAAGCCAAAGTATATATTGGGTGTTGGGTATCAGTTGTCCAGTATCTGAGAGAAGGTGTTTGGGATGACAAGTGATTATACCTTCCAAGTAGCAAGCAAAAGCCATTAGCAGTGAAGAGTTTGAACATTTGAGATCGCCATGTGGGATAATTTTCAGGTAAGAGTTGGATATGAACAATATTCTTGATGTTGGAGATTAGAAATTTTAGAGATGGAGGAATGGAGATTTTGGTGACAGCAACAGGCAGAGATGAACTTGAAGGAGCATTGGGCGTAGAGGTGGTTGAATCGCCCAGAGTGAAGATGTTGTTAAGGATCTCTGATACCATTTTGAAATGCTGTTGTGAAAAGGTTAAGAATATTCAAGGAAAACAGAGAGGCAACGGTAAAGTTAATCTCATACAGGAAACATAGAAGATTGATAAAAACTAGTTATCACATTCATTGTTAAATTATAAGAAGCTATTACAAGTGCTCTATATATTTTGGTATAGTAATGATGGAAATACATAATTGCCCTTGGCAGTTTCATCTTCAATGGTCTAGATTAAATCAGGAGTAAAGTAGAAAGCATCTGTAGGAAGAAGTGGAGACAGGTCTGAGAGCAGAGCCGAAAACAGTCGGCAAAAGGAAGTGGAGACAGGTCATGTTAATTAGCAGCATAAGACGAATGAAAGAGTTTTTTTAATAGCATATAAACTCTCCAATAACGTCGACCATCTGATGAACCTGTTAGAAGAGTAGATGTATTAGATCCACTCTATGTTAAGAAAGGTAAAGGTAGACCTAAAAAGACTTAGTTAGAAGGTATAAAAAATGACCCTTTTTTATTAGATTTAAATGAGAATTTGATTTTTTTAATATGAAACAATAGAGAAAAAAGATTCATGTAGCCGACCCCACGTAGTGGGAAAAAGATTTGTTGTTGTTATTATTGTATATAAACTCTCCATTAACCTTTAAATGCAGTAAATCTCATTGCAAGGTTCTTTCCAAAAAGGTAGAAACCCTTTTCAATGCTAGAATGCCAAAAGATATAAATAATGCACTTTGGTGTGAACCTTTTATTGGATAAGCAACTGCAATTTGCAGCTTTAAATCGATACTAGTGCATTTCCCTGAGCAATGCACGTATATAAGCTAATTTTTTGAAACATTTCAGCATGCGTAATGAATATTTTTGTAAATTAAACATTTAACAATTTTGATAATAGTAGCCAAAATGAACTTAGGTGTTAGGTAAAAAGGCATTATAAATAGATCTAAATTTCAGGCCTCACACCAAATTGGCTGCAAGGAGCTTCCCGCACTGGCAATCCCCTTTTACATGAACTCTACACTCAAACAAAACCACACGTAAATCTACATTTCTAGTTTCTTGTGCATGTAGCTTATGTAGGCTAATCAAAGTGAGTGAGCCTGTCATAAACCTTTGCTTTGAATCTAAGGCCAAGTTTGATTATCTTATATTCATTTTTTTGTCATAGATTAAGAAAATATCATTTGACAGGTGAGACAAAATAAATAACATTTTTAAGTTATATAAAAAGCCAAATGTCATTAATAAGATTCAGAGCATAGTTTAAGTTCCCATTGAACAAATTTCTATCTCACACTCAAAGCACAAATAGGCAACCATTCATCAATGTATGCTTCTTAATGTTTTACTCATTTATGAATTGTTAGACCGATAGAGGGAAGGAAATTGCTCAACTTACAAGCAGGCTACATATTTGCATGGCTGGCATGTTAAACTTTATCTGGTCAAGGCTAAGAATAGAGGGAGGAGCGATGCAAAGGCATGAAAATGAGAAACAAAATGTCAGAAAAGGAATTCTTTGTCATGAGCATCATGAGTGTAAGACAGATAATTGCATTAGTTATAAGAATATTCTTGTTTCTTGGATTGGTCGTCAGATGGGGTGGTTTAACTGATGCCTGACCCATGAGTAAATTAAGTAACACAGGTAAGCACCGTAGGTGATTCTAGATTTTCTTTTGCTTTAGGTTCATCATGATTTGTTTGATTTAGGGACAGTTTATTTGCCGAAAAAAGGAATGCCAAGCATTCCAAATGCAGGAAAAATGAAAATTTTGGGTGTTTGGTTCGCTGAAAAATGAATAATATTAAATTTCAGTTAATTCCTTTTTCACTCTCTAGTTCATTTTTTATGTATTATAAACTCACCCAATTTTTGTTAACTTATTTTTTCATCGCAAGTTGATTGCGTTGTCGCCACCCATTGCCTACTACCAACCACCACTAGTTGTTGTTGGTCACAACAATCATTTGACTTTATATTGCAATCAATTTACTTCAAGCCTAACAAAACAAACAATCTCCTACATTTCTTCTAGACTATAAAACTTTTACTCTACATTCTTTTTTTAGCAAACCAAACAGCCCCTTAAACCAGAACAACTATTTAGAGATAAAAAGGTGATTACTTCAAAGAATAGATGTGACAATCTAAAAATTTATAATTACAACAACAAGCCTTGATCCCACTATGTGAGGTCCGCTACATAAATTTTTAGATGTAACAATCTAAAAATTTATAATTAATTAGCTTAAAATAATTTGAAATAAATAAATAATAATATATTTAAAATCTCTCCTACATCATCTCGTAGCCCATTTTTAACTAAACTTTTGAGGGCAGGCGACCCCACAATCATTTAAATTAAATGGTGCAATTGTGACGAATATATTACAAAATAAGTTAAGATATTAAAATAATAAAGAAAGGTAATAGTTTCATTATTCTACTATTGGAAAAGTTGCAAATACAAATTTTTATTCTATTCATTATAAAGAAATGTATAATGCATTCCATATAAAGACTTGCATGCATATTGTTTACTAATTTTTGAATTAATATGATTTAAAAATATAATAAGCCACTAACTTAATTACCTCATCCACTGGTTGATAACTCTTTTAAAAAAATTACCCTTTTTAACTTAAATGGATGAAAGAAGAGGGTTCCAAAAAAATAGGGCTTATGTACAGCAGAAAGATAACATAAAAAATTAGGCATTATTAAAATCATTTGTATCAGCTTATATTTTTAAAAATATATATTATGAAGTAAAGAAAATGAAAAAGAATGTACATTATGAAGTGTTTTATGAATAGGAATTTATGGTTTAGTGGCTCTTTCGGATCGGAAAATTTTTTGTGATATGTGAAGTGAAAGTGCTTAAAAATTTCGATCTGACTGTATATTCCTACTTATATATTCTAAGCTTCCAAATTGGGTCATGACAATAGACAAGGTTGGTGCAGCCGTAATTATATTAACATGATTACAAACAGAAAAGAAACTTCAAATAACTAACTCAAATCTCAACTGCGAAAATAGAAAACGAACCCGCAATAAGAAAAAGAATGAAAATACAAGCAAAAGGTATCCTCTGCAAAAGCAAGTTGGTGTCATACTTCAAATCACAATTTCAAAAAATCCACTTGCACTTTCATTTTTAAGCGTCCAAATTTTTTGACAAAAGAACCTCCATACCTTGTAAACTGCTTCATATCCAAGAAAACCAGTTCTCGAACCTACTGATCGAAGTACCATATCTCCACCCTTGTTTCCTATATCAACTTGAATCTACATCATGTAGGATATATGAGCAAGTTCAATAAAAGGCAGGATTAAATTCCATATTGCATATTGTCAAATAAAGCAATTAAACTAAAAAAAATCTAAAACATATCCCACGGAAGTTATAGCCCTGTGAAAAAAGTCATGAAAGGCAGATCAAATCACTGCAGAAAATAAGTCAAGAAAAAATAGATTTTCTCCTGAAGTATATCATACATCATGCATCCCCTATTGTGTTTGAATTTGTAGCTATACTTCCTATAAAAAGTAATCAAAATGTATAACAGAAGTTCTTAACATTAATGATCACCAAAAAATATAACCACTATGCAATTTTTATATTGTAGATCAACACCAGTGGTGTTGATATCATGCTTGGATGTTTTACTAAATTCACACAAATGGATGGTAGAATCTCTCTGCCCCTGTCCCAATTATTATGTACTCCTTCAATGAAACATGGAACTCCATGAGTAGATATCAAAAATTACAACTTCCCAATATTTGAATAGATGCTCACATTGAAATATATAAATGCATGTTTATATGTTTCATAACCAATGTTATCATGCATATATATGCATACATACTTGATTACATTGGTTGTAGAATATTTATAATTACTTTTAACACATACCATCAATTTTAGCAAAAAAACCCTATTCATAGTACGGTTCATAGTTCTTAGAATTTCCAGACAGGATTTTTAGGGAATAAATTTTTAACCGAAAAAGATAATCACTAAAGTTCAAAGCATTAGACTTCAAAGACGGACTCCAACAAGAGCTAAGAAAAAGCAAAAGATCTAAAATATCACCGTATTTCCATTTCATTCTCAATTCTGTTGCATTTGCACGACAAAAATGCTACTCGAAAAAAACTTCGTATATTGAAGAAACACATTTTGTTGGGAACTAGAACTACCAGGCAAGCTTTTTACTTAGAAAGAACAGCCATCAATCAAACATTTTGAGGCAAGGCATCCAGATAGTGGGCATATAAATGAGGAATAGTGCCATGAATTTTAAGGAATGTTAAAAAGCTTATACAACTGTATATTAAGTACATAGTATTATAAGATTTATCAACTACCCATTTTCACCGTCAACTTAATGCTTTCAGTTAAAGGGTATTATGGAGCAGAAATTGTTGCCATTAAACATTATTCCTCCTTGACTCAACCACTTAATTGATTTTGTATCAATCTTCTCATTCAATATATTTGGAGTTAAGATAAAAAAATGTGTTATGAAGAACAGAGCCAGAGACAGTAGTCAAGTTGATAATGGTCCTAAGATCAAAATCCGTCCACGCCAAATTTGTATCTTGGCAGTTGGCACTCATCATTCCATAAAAAATAAAAAGAATGGAACCAGCAGTGTTGTGCCTTGGTGGATTTGGAGCAGAAGATTCCTCCCCTGTAAGTTCTTCTGAAGATCATTTACTGATGTTGTAAATCAAAGTGAAGGATATCCATATCATCCCAAGAAATTTCAATTTTCACTCTCAGTCATTTCATCCAAGCTAGGGTTTCCTAAAAGAATGTTGAAAAGAAAAAAATTTGTTATCCATTAGATAGAATCAGGTAGTTCGTTTCCACTTCCTCAGACTGCCCTGCAACTGATTTTTTTAAACCCAATGGGAAATATGTTGTTCCATAACCATATGGTAGACCGGCTTCTTCCACTACCCAAGTTGAAGATGAATGCAGTTCTACAAAATCATTAAAAATGAAGCAATTAAGTGTAAATTAATGGACCATACTCCTCCCCAAACTGCCAAGATTTCAAATTCATATCTCCATCAGTTTTCCTTAGGCCCTGAAATTAATTATGCTGCTCAGCTCTCCAGCCACTTACTTTCCAATTCAGTAACCTCCATCAAGGACAATAATAAAGCTATTAAGGATAATTTTTTGGATGCAGCTCCTTCCCAATTAGCTCTTTCAAATTCAACTATTCAACATGATTCTTCAATTAATGGTTCTCCATCAAATATCGTCTCTTCAGTAAACTTCTAATGTTGCTGCTTTGCATACTGAGTTAACATCTGATTGCTCCAAATGAAATTCATCCCCAGTAATTAATTTTGATGCTCGATTTCTTCACAAGCACCTTGCTTACGCATCAGAACCTTCTACACAAGTTAAAAATAATGATGACGGTACCATTTCTAATTATGCTGATGTAAAAATTCTGATTAAGACCTTTTTTACGGGAAGAATGTTGTCATCTAGAAAAATTTGCGGTTTGTTCCAGAAATTTGTAATAGACTTCTGGGATCTATTCTATTAACAGTTGCAAATCCTTCCTCTTCTAACTGGGTTGAGAATGTAAAGGCTAAGCATACAAACAATACATGAGGACAATATTTGTAATTATCTCAATTCCCAAACCCAAGGAAAAAAAAAGGGAAAGCAAACTCTATGCACCCCAATCTTGAACCAAGTAGATCAAAAAAATGCTATGAACCCCTTTAATGGCCAAATCCTCATTGCTCCTGCTGATGATTGTGGTATCACTCTTCACTCGGATTCTGTTCTAGAGTTTCAAACTAAGGTCTGATTTGATCTCTTTTTTGATGTATTGTGGCTCGGGTGCTTCTTTTTGTCCTATTAACAACAGTAATTCGAATTCTAGAGGGTTGTGCTCTAATAGAATAGAAAAGGTAGCATTCTTATTGAAAATCTAAAAAATTATTTATATTCAGGGAACTAAACGTAAGGACCCTTCCTAATATGTTCTTTTTTCCAATGCTGTTTAGTCTGATTCCACTGGAAGATTCCCAATGCCATTGGTGGTTCTGTAGTTGTATTTGGAGCACTTATCGGATTTACAAAAGCAGAATCATGGCTTCTCTTAGCCAAAGCTATAAGAAAATTCTTATAGCCTTGATGGATTTTTTAAATACATTTTTATCATTTTTATTTATGGGATTGATGGAGGACTTACAATTATAGTATTTTTGTTTAGTTTTCTAACTTGATTATAACTATTTTGACAATAAACACCATCTGAGTCTCGCCCATTCAATGGGATTTGCTGGCTTCCGTTGATTTTATTTTCAATGCTTTGTATCAATCAGATATGGTCATTCTTGATGATGCTTATGTCTTCAAGGATAGTTATTGACTTGGATTTTACCTGGAACTCTTTACTATTTAGTGTCAAAAGGGATTTTAGTTTAGTACTTCATGAACACCTCTCCTTTTTTTATTTTACTCATCAAAGACGGCAGAGCTTCTTTCATCAAGATCCTGTTGGAGTTCATGAATCCTTACTGCCTTCATTAAGCAGCTATTTTTAAGGATCCAAATTTGTTTTTCTGTATATCTATAATCTGTACAAACAAAAGCTTTTCTTTTCCTTATTTTAAATTGAGCTTTGTGTAACTCGTGATATTCTTGTTATCGAGAAGGATGCTTACACCCAATTTTTCCAACAAAAAATATATTGTGTATATCAAGTGAACCTTTACAATCATCTAATTAACAAAAGCAACGAAAGGTTAAGACAAAAAAGGAAATTAAAAGCAAAAAACACACCATATCAATCGAAGCAGATTCCATTTGGCATGCCATAGTTCTGGACCATATAAGGCTGTACAACTTCAAAGAATCTCCATCAAGTATTCCCCCTAGAGTAGCTGCAAAGGAGATTAAAGAGTGAGGTTTAAAAATAAAATGATTGCTATGAAGATGCAGCCAAAAGACTAAAATTCAATCATTGAATGGTAGAACTTCAAAGACTTCTCGAAAGGCCAAAGATAAATGCATTAGTAAACCTTTGATACAAATAAAATTGAGAAAAAATTCAAAATAGTCCCCTGATTATTAACAAGTGTCCAATTTAGTCCAAGAGTTTCGCACTGCCCCAATTTAATCCCTCGACTACTAAAAATTGATCCAAACTTATCCCTCAGTTAAAACATTAATCAATGGAATATTCCTCAGATCTTCCGCATTTCATAACATAAGGGAGCATGTTAAAAAAATATTTTAAGTTTATTTTTTTACAATGCCCAGCTCATCCCATCCAAGGAAAATCTAGTGCAAGTGTGAGATCAAACGCGCCAAAGGATTGTAGAGTTCCAACTGAGAGTTACAAGTCATTGAAGCATTGTGCAGCGAAAATCAACAAGTAATGTGCAACGACCTCTGACAAGAGCTTCAGAGTTTTGTAGCCAATGACACCATTTTCGTAATAAGGATTTTGGAGTTTTATAATCAATGACATTTTCTTTTTAATAAGGGTTCATGATTTTGCTTAACAAACAATACTCTTTTACTAATTATTCACCCTTATTATTTAACAAATTAACATTCATTCTAATTTTTGTATTTATTATAATTTATTAAATGATAAAATAAAGCAACATAAATAATGTTATCTCATATACAATTGAGCTATCTAAAATACTCTCACTTTAACTTTGTTGTTAGCATTAACTATTGTTTTCGGCCCTAAGATCAAATTGGATCAATTTTTAATAATCATGGGACTAAATTGACATAGTGCAAAATTGTGGGATGAAACTGAGCACTTGCTAATTGTCGGGGGATTATTTTGTCTTTTTCCTGGATAAAATAGTGCAAGAATTATGTTAAAATAAATTTAAAAAAAGGATAGGATGCTCAAAGTAACTTGAAGTCAATAAATAGTTAAAAAGTAATGAACAGAATTCATTCGTCATTCACTAAAACAAAAGATTATATGGAAGAATCAACCTTTTATTTGGCCAATATTTTAAAAAAGTAGTTAAACAATAATTAGGTTCAACTATAAGTGAAGTAGAGCTCATCAATATACGTTCATACAAAAGAGACAAGCTTATTTTGTCAATACACCTTCAAACAATTCGATAACCCTTTGAAAACAAAAGGGATCACAATGGTAATAAGACTAGTTAGGAATACAAGTCTAGAAAAAGTTAGAGGAAAGAATCAAAATGGACCCTTGACTTATTATAAAAAATTAAAATAATCTCCAACTATATTATAAAGGAATATTTTGATCCCTCAACTCCTTAAAAAGAAATCAAAATTGATTCATTTTTAAAGACTCAAGGGACAAAAAATATATTTTAATATATTTGTGAGCACTTTGATCTTTCAGAAAAAGTCAAGTGACTATTTTGATGTTTTTCTCGAAAATGTTAATAAAAGCAATTGAATTTGTTAAAAGAATCTTGCTACTCATCAATGTAATTATTATCAAATAACCATCATATGGCTGCACATACAACAAAGTGCGTCACCATCTTTCATAATTTTTTTTGTGCATCAACTTGTAAATAAGTTGTGTCCTAGTCTCCTAGAGCTTCACTATATTGGTTCAACACTTTCAGAGATGTTCTCAAATCTCTTGTAAGGAAGACCTTGACACAATATTCACCATACAAAAAAAGGCATTATCTTTGCAATCAATTCACATGAAAAGATCAATTAGTAATAACTAGTAAACAAAAAAAATATTGTGCATAATAAGGCATGTTGACTCAATTTTCTTGAATCGGGTCAATTCAAGTTAATTTAAACTAAATTGAGCCAAATCAACTAAATTGAGTCAAATCGAGTCCATGTCGAAACTCAATGTCTCACATTCAATTTAACTGTTACACTTTTCTTAAGCCGTTTAAGGCCTTTTCAAATCAAGTTTCATTCATTCAACGGCCGAAATCAAAAGGGGTTGAGGTTGTGTGCACAATGGCAGCTGGTGCCAACATTCTCCATGAAAATAGACTATGAGCCCTTACTTCCATTATCCACCTCACTACAACTACTAGTGGCAAGGCCCATCAAGCGCATGTATGGAATTATGTTTATCACATTCCATATGGCATATACATTATATAGATCTTACCATCCAAGTTACCAAATGTGAGCTCCAAAAATTCATGCCCTGGCCCCTCCACGCCCTCTTTTTGTCAACAAGGAGAGTTTTAACTAGTTTAGTTTTGGGAAAAAATTTCAGAAGGTATATTGGATTTTAAGATAAGACACAACACAGAGATTTCACCCACATTTTGTGAGGACTTTATGATTTGAGGTCTAGTTTCCCATAGGCGCAATCTCCTACAGTTAATTACCCTACTAATAATAAGAGACAACTTTCAATTAAGGTTAGTTATTAGATAAACACTAATTACCCAATATATAGTAGCAGCAATTTTAGGATTTTCAATATTTAGAATTTATCACCATATACTTAAAGCGGGTGATGAGGGAATGATGACGGACCCGATCAAGATCTCGTGATTCCATCGTCCCTAGCTGTCGGGGTTCCTATTCCACTTAGTCAAAGGAGGTAGTCGACCTAACATGACTGAAAATCCTTATCAGTAGCCATGGGTTGCGTTGTCCAAAGGGAACCTTGTAGAGTTAGGATAAATGTTTACCTTAAGATGACAGGTTTGAATCCACCTTAACTAACTGAGAGGTTTATGCCCTATCAAATATATCATATCATTCATTACTCAAGGACTTAGAGTCATTGGAGAACATATGGGCTTTGGTCGTGACCATAATTAAGGGTATCATTAGGCAGCAAAACCACATAGTCAGAGGGTCGTGATCATAACTGTTTACCTGTGGTGTGGCAGCAAAATCACCGGTTAGAGAACAAGTGCCACATCCTTACTGGCAAAAGATGGTTCAAGAATAAATCTTAGTGATATACTCGATTGGACATTCGCTCTTTGTGAATTGAAGTGATTTTCAAGTTCATCCAACTCAATAAATTGTTATGAATGGTGGTAGATTTTTGCATTAAATATATAAGTGATTAATTTCATCTTGAATATTTTAAGTTTTAGAGATTTTTTAGTTTTGAACTTTTATTAAAATCATAGCCCATTATTAATTTTGAGATTTATGGGTATTTAAAACATAGAGACCTCTATGATTGATATTAACTTCAACATGACCATCATCAAGGTCTTGTGAGCAATTCTTTTCATTAGTCAAACTGATGAGGACATCAGACTTCGCCACGTGTACCATCGTCGGAGACGCAGATCGACGGCTATGATCCAGAGCCTTTATTTATGATTTATTTTGTATTTTATTTATTTCGCATCTTATTTTCCTAGTTTGCCCCTGCGGGTATTGAGTTGCTTGTGTAGCCCTGAGGGCATTTATGTCTTTCTAGCTTTGTCTTGTCTTGGCCTATTTAAAGGAGGTCTCATGCATTGTAAGGGGATGATGATTTGATAATGAAATTTTATGTGTTTTTTTTTCTTCTTCTTCTTCTTGTGAGTGCACTAGAGAGAAGGGAGAGAGAGCTCGAGGTGAACAAGCGCAATACCCACTAGTCGTTGAAAGAGTCCACGGCTCGTGGTTAGTTTACTTTTGATCTTGTTTGTATTTCCTTTCTTCAACTTATTCTCCCCCACCTCCACCACCGGCCCACCCCTTTCCCTGGCTCTTTTGTCGTCCGCCCCCTACACAAACTCCCACAGTCACCGCCTTCCCCTTCTCACAATCGTCGAACCACCATCAGCCCCTCCCCCTCAAATCCTGCCGCCCATGTCCCCTCCCCTCCCATAACCGCTGGCCACCCCCTCTCCACCCAAGGCTTCGGCCCCCCATAAGCCCCACTTTCCTTTTTGAGTTCCGCCCCAATTTAGAAAGGATTTGAAATTTGAATTCAATCAAATTCAAATTCTTTCCTATTTATCAAATCTATTTTTTGGCAAGAGCCAACAATCAAGTCCATCAATTAAACCTGAATTAATTGGTTAATTTACGTCTCTAGGTCCAAATACATTGAACCTAGACATATTCTTCCTCTTTCTCTCTTGGCCGAAATCCCCTAGCCCCCACCAGTTTAATTTCTTTCCAAAAGGGAAGCTCCTTCCAATGGAATGAATTCAAATAACTCCCCTCTCTCTTTCAATACAAGGCCAGCCCACCCCTCCTCCTTTTCTTTATTTCTTTACCATAATGACCTCCCAATCAACTCCTTAATTTGAATCCAATCAATTCATATTAGATTTGACTTATTCCATTCAGCCCTGACGGGACAAACTGCTGTCCCATCTCCTTAGTTTCTGTTCGGACTGATGTTGGAAGTATTCTGAAGGCCAAAAGGGTTTCTCAACCAACACTTGATGCTGCCTACACGTCTCCAGTTGCTGTCCAATCAGTTTGGTGGCCATATTCCGCTGCCCTGCTGTCCAAGAAATCAATGATCACCTTCCTAAATGTGTCCAAGCCTTGACATTGCTGATTACTCTTCATCCAGTGCCTTGGTGATCAAATCGGAAGCTTCGTATTCTCTCATTATTTGGGTAAACTCTCCCCCAAATCATTAAATCTCTTAGTCACTTTTCAATTGTGATTTATAAATGATTCATGAAGATTCTCGTCACTCTCTCCGCTAAACCCTCTTAACTAGATAAGTTGAGTGAGGGATCACCTTGTAGTGACTAGTCTTATTGTTAGTATAGGGATTTCTTGTTGAAACCACTCATGCATACAACGTAGATTAAGTTGACTATTTTTCGATCTTAACTTCTATACATGTGGTTTAGCCTAAGCTTGTCTTCCTGCCTCTATGTTTTCTTTTGACGTTTAAAACCTATATAAAGTCATAATTATTGTGAATTCTAAAATTAAGCGTGCAACTTCCTAAGTTAATCATCCT